TAAATAAGTAAATAATTATATATATATAATACATATAACTATACTATATTATATATATATATATATATTATATATATATATATAATATATATATATATAATATATGTATATATACATACATACATATACATATATATATATATATATATATATATATATAAATATATATATATATATATATATACGCTTTGACAATTACGATCAAATACACGTTCGTACAGTTCATACAATACGTAGTGACATGTATGTGGAAAAATGTGACAGCATATAGTTGCATCGTATAAGTTGGGAGATATTGTGAGGTCATTGAGACTGATATATAAACATAGTTGACACTTCAATAGCACAATTTACACGAAAAGACGTTCTGGAACCTTGTGGCCGTATGAGCTTCCTTCTTGTGCTTGAAAGTTTACGACTAATGTCTCACAAAACACTATCGTTGATATTCACGTGCCAGACTGCCACCATCAGCTTTTAACTCAGTCATGAAATACTATGTGGAAACAGTGATGTAACTATATGATGTACCTTGTGAACGACCACAGAAATTCTTTCCTACTGTGCACGATTGTACAGTGTCTAGCTGGTTGAGAGTCGCAATTCCCCCGATAGAGGCCTTAATATCTGCTTCGGAGACGCCCTCGTTGAGCTTCCACATGACAATGTGCATTATAGGCATTTTGGCAAAGTGCGTTTAAATCCCAGTGATATGTGACAAAGCGGCCTATGGTACGTATACAGACTCTTTGAAACATCACTGACATTCATATTTTAAATTTACGAAAGCCGCGAAGCCAAATATCACTTTTTTCTATGAAAAATTAGAAAGTGATTTGGAAGGACAAAAAATAAATAAATAAATTGCACGCGCAGCCTTCTCGCCGGCTAAAATATCAATTTTGGCGCAAAATTCGAAAACTGTATTTACACGGCCTCCTGACCCTCCTGTCTAACATATATATATATATATATATATATATGTATATATATATATTAATGTATATATATATATAGTATAAAATATGTATATATATATATATATATATATAATATATTTGTTTTAAAAAAATATACAAATAAAATAAATACATGTAAAATATAAAGCTGCGGGTTGCTGTGATTCCCACTCTGATTTCAATTTAACGCTTGTGGATATTTTTATCATTGCTAAACTTACTCTTTCTTGTTTCTACGAGGGCATCAAGTCGCCATTGCTAACACTTAAAACTTTAAGCGAATGATAACACGCCAAAATGTTAAGCTATACTTAAATATTGTCCATACTGACGTAATCGGCTTTTCTATATCAACAAATATTTAGGCACATGCACGTGAATCTTGGGTTTGTTTTGTTGGTTTTTAAAAACAAAATGTGTTCTTTTGTCAGGAGGCTATGCAAAATGCCGGTGCCAACTGCCATATGTCAATACTTTCAGTTTCATACCCCAGAGCCAACCAGAGCGTCAGAAGTGCGACTATATCAAATTATTTTTATTTTAGACAAAAAACAAAAACAAAACCCCCCCCAAAAATGCTGGATTGCAAATTTGCCGTGGACTTTCACAACAATACAGACACGGAGTATTTTTCTCCTCTACTAGTAGCTGTTGCGAGTTGCGACTTGTGACTCATGTGAGTTGTGACTTGTGTGGAGTTGTGTTCAGCGATGAGTGTCACTGTCACTGAGTGATTGCAAACGAGTGAGAGAATAGAAAAAAATGATATCCCTCGCCGGCCTCGCGTAGTAATTCACAATTTTCGCACGCATTTTCATGATGTGTGGGCGACTGCGGCCGCACTAAAAATTCTATTCTGTTTTGTAATATATAAATATATATATATATATAGATATATCAACTATAGCAGAGATTCCCATATTTTCTCTATCGTCAACAGAACGTTTAAAAAAAATAGTCATCATGAGTTTGGAGGAAGCTAAGGTACAATACCAAAAATTGGCAGTGGACTTGAACAAGAAGTTTGGAAGCCAGCCACAAATCAAGCAGGTCACCGAGAAGACCGGTGCTCAAGCTGCACATGTTGTACTAGGCGGTGCCGCAATTGCCTTCCTTTCCGCGTGGTTAATCTTCGGAGCCGACTTTGTTACCACGCTCGTTGCTGTAGTATACCCCGCCTACGCGTCTATCCAGGCCATCGAGGCGCTCGGCTCCACTGACGATGCACAGTGGTTGACCTATTGGGTTATCTACGCCTGTCTAAACGTTCTTGAGTTTGGTGAGGAGTACCTGCTCGAGTTTATCCCCGTGTACTACGTGGTAAAGATGTGCTTGTGCGTCTGGATGTTCCTTCCCTCTACCCAAGGAGCGTCTATTGTGTACAAAAATGCCATCAAGCCTTTGGTCAACAAGGACACCGCCGCTAAGGTTTCTGAAGCCATTTCCACCGAAGCCAAGGTCGAGTAAAATCGCCGTCGCGGAGATATCTCATTCTGTAAATAAATATATTTTGTGATGCCGTGTAGGCTATATTTATATTTGCGTGTATTTTTTGTTTATCGTCGCGTATAAGTTTGAGCTCTTAGGCTCTGTCTTCATTTTAAAAGGCTTGAATCATCTCGAGATTTGAACAAAGGGTGTTGTATGCTATGCAAAACGAAGTTCAACGGCATATTCTAGCTGATGCGCTTAACAAAAAGGACAATTTCATTTCTCAAAAGCTTACTAAACATTCACTACAAATAATATATATATATATATATATATATATATATATATATATATATATATATATATATTATATATATATGTATA